ACCAGCAGTTAATCAGTGTTATATTGCACAGCCCACTTACCATGTGCATAGAAATGGAAAATGTTTGTGTTATTAAATGTTTATGTCATTAGCAGCTTATTTTGATGCTTGTTGTAGTTATTACCAAATTAAAATAAAAAAAAAAATACCAGCACATCACTAATGAGCAATTAGGAAGAAAGAGTTTCATGGATCTGAGACACCTAACACAAATGAGGAAGACTACTTACTTTTGATATGTTAATGTAATAAAGAATATACGGTGCTGAGTGACAGGCAACAACAAGTCTGCTTTAGGTAGATGTAAGAGTGACTGTTTTCCCAGATGCTAATGTTAAGGAAGCCTTGAATTTGAGAAGCAGAAGGCATCCATGCCTATGTAAACTATGGACAAAACGCTTTTCTGAGTTGTTTTCAGTGTGCATATTTTTCTCTTGATCAAGCAAAAACTAATAAAAGTAAAAATAGGAGTTAACATTACACCTCTGGGTCATACTACTTAAAAGTCAAACTCACTCTTATCTCTCTCCTAGTATGAATTTCCAAATGGCAGAGACAAATTTTGGTGGCTGGAAAAGGAAGGTAGACAAAGCCAAACAAGAAAAACGCACAAAGTTTTCACGGTGATGAAAAATGTGTTCAAATCGCCCCTCCACAGAGGAATGAAATGCTTTAGTATGTTCTTTGCTTACAAAAGCATTACCTCTCTTTCTTAAATATAGACAATATCTAGTAGGAGGGTATACCTGGAGCATGTGGTGATGCAGAGAATGAAACACCTTTGCTCAGGTGCTGCCTTTTCCCTGGGTACCTGGACACCTTGGGATGGCTTCTCCATCACCCACATCTCTACCCTTGCAGAGGACCCTTCCTGGAGTGGTGTGAGCATTCCCAACTGAAATGCTGCTGTCTGTGCTACACAAATAGCATACTCACCTCACAGATGAAATCATTATAAGATCTCCTCTCATCATGAAAATCCAGTAATCTTCGCAGCACTGAGACGTTGCTTCTTTGGGAGAAAGCTCTAGCCTGTTAACCTGCTCCCCTCGGTCCTGCGACACAGAGGCAGGACATGCTTTCTTTGCCATCTTTCTTAAGATTTGAAGCTTTTGTGCCTGGTAGAAAGCCAAAGCTGAAATCCCGGGTTAATCCTGTTATCTGGTTCACAGCCTAATGCTTGTTTTGGAGAATTCACCTCCATGCTTTCCCCGTATGTGAACAATTTCAAAGGTTTTAAACTGAAAGGATGATAACAACTCTTGTGTCTCTCCTTCCTCTTCCAAATTGCACTTGCTTTTAGTGTCCCCCGTCTGTGCTGGGCAACAACACTGACTTTCCAAACTCTGCTAAAATAAACTTATGGACTAAGATGTATAGGTGTGCATGCAGAGCTTCGAAATAGCAGGTAAGGAAAGAAATCCAAATAAAATGATAATGAACTACCACCAATTTTGATCTATAAATCTTAAAGTAATTTTACTCCAGCACTCCAATAAAAATTCCGAGATAGACTAGTTGCTTCACTGGTTTCCAGTGATGTTTTTTCTGTGAACGAGAATTCACTGTTCTTCTTCCTACGTATACCTCCCATGGAATTTCAGTGGAGTATAAGTGCGGGTGGAGCATCACGTTTGTAACCAAAGGGTTAACTAGCCAGAGCTTCTGTTAGAGCTCTGTTGTTACTGGACGTAAGTCAATTGTATAATTTGGTGGAGAGCAGATCTCTAACTATTTTTAAGCACCTAAGTGCCACAAATAGGAACTTGGGTCCATTATATAGTCAGTGGAGAAATACAGACTCCTAAATTAGAGGTTCTGGTTTAAATCAGAAGAACCCTACTTCTCTAGAGTCAGGCAACACTAATATTTCCCTGGTTTCCTTCTTCTCCTGCTGAATGGTATAAGTTTGTCTTGGGTTGAATAATGAAGAGAATAGCCTTCATGACCACTGAAAACATGTGCAGGATCAAAATCCACTTTCCTCTTTCTTTCTTCAAAAGAAGCAATACACTACTAACCAGCACAGCCAGTCCAAAGGCACTCTCAGTAAAAGATTCAGAATTATCTACTCTTTTTCTCTTCCTGAGTACAGTGAGCAAGTAATCATAGTTGCAAAGTGCCTAGATTCTTAGAGCAGAATAAACTGTGGAGACATACAAAACTGAAATAAATCTCTCGCTGTTGTGCCTTCTACTGTAGCAACTGAAAATCTAACTGAGGTCTGCTACACAAAGCAGCACATGTCAGCATGGTGGAGGACAGCTGGAAGAAGAAATGCAGATTGTGAATTGTAATAACAATGGACAGGTGTATGAGAGATTTCTGAACTCTTGAACATGTCCCCGAAACTTGGCACATGTTGCTGTTTGCTCCTGGGCTGGCATCCAGCAGAGATTGAGAGGAAGCGAAACTGCTGCCATTAGTTACACAGTGTGCACACCTCCAGATTCACCAGAAACCCAGGTATACCAGTGAAACATTTATAAATCACACTAGTGCAGCTGCCAGACAAAAGACTATGATCACACTGTGTTTGGTGGGATATGCAGGCTCTTTAAAAAATAGATGGGGAAGGCCAGATTCAAACTGATGACAGTGATAAAAAAGAACTAAAGATCACCAAATCTGCTCAAAAATAAGGTTTACTATCTGTGACATTTTTAGTAGTATTTAGATAATTATTTACATAAGTCTATATTATTTGACATTCAGGGTAGAAGTTGAGCATCTTTTCTATGTTAGACATGCAACGTGTAGCACAGCAGGACGGGTATCCCTGTTCAGATCTGCCCCTCAGTACTCCTGAGTAAAGAGGGAGCCCATATATTTAGTTCGATATACAAGGTTGAAGCCATATAAACAGGACTCCCAAACTGAAGTAATATCTAAGTGAAAAACATAGAAAAGCACCATTGTGTAAAAATCATAAACAAAAAAAATAATGGCACGGAAAGTCACTTTTTTGTGTCTGTAATTCTTCTTAGAGCCTGAGTTTAGGTTGGATTACATTCTCCTTTTCTTAAGCAAATATTGTCGAAATTATAAAAATCTAGTATACTTAAAATCTGGTTCAGTAGACTACGGGAATAAATTTATTTCACCCACTGTTATTAGACATCTACAGTTAGATCTTTCATGAGTCAGGTGAATCCCACTCAAAGCATCTGTCTGTCTGAGACTGAGATTTCAGTCATGTTTTCAAACAAATGCACCCATATTTAAAAATAGATTTTCTGATTAAATAATCTGAACAAGAAGTTTCCTGAGGCTTTTACCAGTGACTCCAGGATGAATCTTAACCTTTGAGTACTCAAAACTGAACTCTTTCTGTAATTGCTGTAATCTTACAAAAACCATATCAATTTTCATAGGATCATTTTCCTTCTGGTAGCGTGAGGAATTTTCTGATGAATAATGTAATTCACAAAGTTTCTTTTGCACTAAGTTAAAAACCTTTTTCATCTCTATCCCATAATAAAAATAAATCAATAGATAATAAAATAACTTTAACATATTATCACATATATGATCCACTGAAATCTAAAAAAAAAAAAAATTGAGCCGCTCTGTTTCTCATATGCTTGTGCCTCTCTGGGTAAATCTAGAAACACTAATATTTAAAGAGTAGTATGGAAATGAGTACAAATGATGCCTTGGGTACAGGCAAAGTTTGGCTGCAGAAATCAAAATGAAAAGAGAGTATTAGTATCTTAACCAGGAAGATACTTAAACACATTTTCAATTTTGAATTCTCAAAGGAATTAAAGATATACCTAATATTAAGCACATGCTTTAACCTCCTTTCTAACTGTCAATGTTTTCTTGAGCTGAACATGAGCCCAAGTCTGGAAGCAAGAAGATGTTGAATGTCAAAACAGAAAAAATAATAAAAAAAAGTACAAGTATTTTATTCTGTTTCCCTTGGAGCACATAGTTTTCTGGTGTCCTATCACACTTTTAAAGAAGGAACACTAGTACAAAAGAAGCCATTCTAAACCAGAATGTGAAAATCCCTACTGATGATATAAATGTTGAAGGATCTGTCCAAATAAATCAGGAAGACAGGGGAGCACACAGCCCTAATCAGCATGAAGTAATTGTGCAAACCTATCTTAGCAGACAGGAACAACAACCTGGAGAATTGGGTTGTTCTGGTGGGAAAAAATAAAATAAAATAAAATGTCCAAGATGCAGCAAAGCCTTTGTCATTAGTAAACACTAGGATGGGATCCAACTGGCTGACTTCTTTGTTAATCTCTGCCTCATTCTCTGTGACATTAATTATCTTCATTTGACTGGCAGTCATCTATTCCCAGTTTGGACAGTTTCCCCATTAGAGTACCAGGCACACAGCTTGTACAGTAGTTATCAGGAAAAACTGTGACTACATTGGACTGGACTGGAACAGAGTCCTGGTTATATGAGTCAAATATCACAGGAATTTGTGTGTGTGTGTGTGTGTGTGTGTGTGTGTGTGTGTGTGTTTACCCAGGCATCTCAAACTCTGAGAAACACATGGTAGGGAAAAAAAATACTGAAAAATTTCAATCCCTTCATTTTATAAGTCCTTGTTTTTTCACCTGTGAGCAATCCATTAACAAGACATTAGCAAAAGGATTCTTTTCCTCCCTTGCCCAGAGTACAGTGTGTCCCAAACTTATTAATTACAAAAACCCCAGCCCACAGCTGTAAAGCACAATCACTGACTTCCAACTTTCTGCTGGCTCACAGGTATTGGTATATCTGTACATATACAAACATGTACACCCATATACAAGTATATACAAACAATGGTTGCAATTTTCATCTATTTTCCTTCAGAAAAAAAAAAAAGCAGCAAACCCACAAAGTAGTCATGCATACAAATCTATTCAAAGGAGTGAAAATTAAATCTTGGCATTGCTATTAAGTGATGGTGTTCACATTTGAGAAAGAAAAAAAGAAATAACTGTTCCTTTGAAATCCGTAGTGAGGCCCTGCACGCATGGACAGAGAGATGAAGCTTGAGGCACAAACCTGGAGCAAATCATACCATGACAGCAGCATACAGAGGACCAGGCTGTGCATTTGAAAATGTGAAAAAGAAACGTGCTGTGTCTGGAAAGGTAAATGAAAGTACAACAAATGTAGCTCTGATTCATTTTGTGTAAGTTTGTAGGTAAAAGAGCTAATTTGTTTCTAGGAACTGTCTCATGTGTTCAGAGTTTGACATCAACGTTTTAACGCTGTGGTGTACAGCTCATTGTATGCTGATGTTTTGCTAATCCAAACTTCTAGATCCTCTTCTGTACATGTTGCATTTTTGCCTTTCATGGGATAAAACAGAAAGCGAGTGTTTTAATCTTACTGTTAATAATGGGCTGTTGTTTGTTCTGGAGTTTATGTGTAGACCCAGCAACTGAAATTGGTCTTCTTTCTCCTTAACTGCTCACAGTCTGTAAGTAAATACTGTTGCTTTGGAATGTAATGACATTGTATGACTGTCATGTTGAGTGGAATGTTAAATATCATCCTAAATAGCATTAAATCAGCATTAAATAGACACTTCTCACTATGAAAATAACCAAATGAGTTTGACTGCGTCTGGCTAGAGTATGTAAACAATGTCAACTGTCTAATGAGGATAAAAGGAAAAAAGAATTAGACAGTTTGCTGCTTCTTAGTGCTTTCTCCTGGTTTGACCAGTCTAGTCCAGCAGTGTTTCTTCTTGGCAATTTCTGTGCTGTTCTATCCAGTGCTTGAAAGAAACACGTGTTCTGTGTGTGGGGCACATGTTAAGTGGAAAGGAGTGGAAAGTTACAGCAGTCATCGTGCAGGGAGTCAATACCTTCCAGAAACATATTGCTGTTTCTGGAAGTGGCTTTGTCTGTCACGAGGCAAATTATTTAAAGACTAATTGTTTGACTACAGATATAAATAAACCTGGCATTTTCCTTGCATTGGATCAGACCTGTAACCCTCTACTTTAGCCCTCTGTTACTTAAAGGCATAAGTAGAAGTCTATTTAGAAAGTTGCAATGAATTGAGTAATTAGGAGATAGCCCACTCACAGATAAATTGCTTTCTAACAAAAGTGTTTGAAAGTTGAATTAGAATAGATTAATTCAGCTAAGTGACTGCATAATAGGAAGGAAGAATCGTGGACACACTTTAGAAATTCAAATTTAACAAAGACCCATGTATGTATCTGTCAAGTTGGCATTACAGTTAACAGAAAATTCATGGTTTGGCACCTATCTCTACATCCAGTAGCCAAAATTAACTTCTTCTGTCAGACCTGGACAGAGCACAGCCAAATATAAATAGTGGAAATAAACAGATAAATAGCTAGGCAGTAAATCCAGCCAGATACTAAAGATGCAAAATAACTGCATGGTTTACATAGAATTGCATATTTCAGGTCTGTTTGTTTTCAGATAATAGCAACTTCGTTTCTCTCCACTGTGAAGTAAAGTGGATACAGTTGAGATGTCTGTTGCTGTAAAATCACAGGTGGTACTCGCTTGCCAAAAAGAGCACTATAGCTCTCCCAGGGCCTTTATCCAGTGAGGTTGTCTTCCAGCCAACTAAGGATCTTCCAGAACTGATGAACAGTAGTGATTGTGAAAGTTATGTCCCTTTTCTTGGTGACTCTCCCTGGTAGATTTTAACACTGGTGCTTTGCTCATGGGTCACCTGAGGAATGGTATTTGCAGATGGCTTTAAACTACATCACAAGCAAAGGAACAACATATATATTTTCCAGGGCTCAATGAAACTTTTTAAATGCAAAACTGTTCCAAGGTAAAAATCGGTATCTCCAAGGTACATCCATATGAGTTTTGAAGGAAAATGTCATATACATCAAATGATACCTGTGGTGGCAGAAGTACTGAGATAAAACCAAAATTATCAGCATAAAAATACATAGATGTATGTTTGAAAGAAATGGAGACATTTTCCTTTGCTATAATAATGAAATGTAATATAATCTGCAAATATGATCTGGTTTTTTTCATATCTATTTCTACGGGTCCTTCGTACAGATACCAAGCTCTCATGCTGACTCACCCTCCTATCAAACAGATGGATCCATTCGCTTCCAGGAATATGGAAAAATGAGGTTGTTTCTGAGAGCCAGATGGATGTAAAGGCAGAAACAAGAGCAAAGGAGAAAGTTGGTGTTGCACTTTACAGTTTCTTTTTTGTTTCCGAGGCAGCCTAAACGGCAAATCCAAGGAAAAGGGAAACTTTAGTAGAGATTCAGCAAGGGTATCAGGTGAGAAAAACCCTTCTGGGTTACAAGGCTGGTCTCACATGCACATGCCTCAGACAGGCTGTTCTTCACTTACCTACAGTTTGTTCAGCTGGAGAAATTCCTTACTTGTCCACAAGTGAGGATTTGCCTGGTCTTCTGGATACACTTACACTATTGCCAAGTAAGCTAACAGCAATAAGATTAGCATTAGCAGAATTTCTCCCATAGTAACAGTTCATCTTCTCATTTTCCCCATATGGTAACCTGATATCTGCACAGCTTTTCTGCTCCAACAGCAAAATTTTTTTGCCAGCATACGCGTGTTAGACTGCGAGAAGGAATTCCTCCATACTAGACTAATAGCCCTGAAATAAAAGAGTTCTGCTGGGCATTTCGTATTGCTGTTAATAAGACCAATCAATTACAGACAGCTCTCTCTTTGAAAATCTTCCCAGAGACAGAAAGTTGTTAGGAGAAGTAATAAAAAGAGTGGAAACTGATTTCTGAATTCCAAGAGATAGACATCAAATCTGTTCACTACTTAGTAGTATGACCTTATTTAAACATTGTTTCTTACTGTATGTTTTTGTTTGGTTTATTCTTTTTAATATATTAATCTCAAGAAAACTTTTTTCTGCATGGCATCTATTCAGCATGTGCTTTTTTATGTAATTTGGACTCTACAAACTTTGTAAGGAATGGAGCCAAGTTGAATAACTTTCTCAGAAAATAAAACTTGATGGAATATTTTATGAGAGTTTTTCACTGCAATGGAAGCCTGGTGTGCTCCAGACTGCAGCACTTGGCACATGTAAATAATAAAGCATAAGAGGGATTACCAGCTACTAATTTTATGAAAGTCCACCGGCACTAAGAGCAGTGCTGCTATCATCAAACCTCAAGAATAACAGCAGACTAAAATGCAGCACTCATTCCTTTTTAGTTGAAAAAACTTTTGGGATAAAGATGTGTTTTAAGTTGAAAGATTATCATGGAGAAATGAGGGGAAATGTTTTCATGTTCAGGGCTGAAAAATGCTGCTTAAAAAGCAATGTTTATGAAGTTCGGGTATTGGTCAGGTACAAGTTCTTTGGACAGTCATTTACTTAGGGGTTAAAGCAAGTAGAAGTAAAATTTGTCTCAAACTGACAGATGAATTTTAGTGCTATAAAGACATTGATAAGAGAGTATGCTTTCCCAGAACACTCCTGGCTTCAGGAAGACTTTAGTCTTGGTTTTTGCCTTGGGGCATTTGTTTCAATTTTGTTGCTTTCAACAGCACTGTTCGTGTGACTCTGTGTTATTCACATGCATTGGAGTTATTGGTCTCACCCAGACTTTGCAATGAGCAACACAGATTCTGATGCAGTTGACTTCTCACAGAACTGTGAATCTGAAAGTTCATAAGAACATCAAAATACTTTACACAAAGCAGAGGATCTTCTTCAGCAAACCCTTTGACACCATCTCCCACAGCACACTCCTGAAAAAGCTGGCAGTCCACGGCTTGGACAAGAGCACTCTCTCCAGGGTTAGGGACTGGCTGGATTCAGAGAGTGGTGGTGAACGGGGCTGCATCCAGTTGGCAGGCGGTCACTAGTGGTGTCCCCCAGGGATCAATGTTGGGTCCAATCCTGTTTAATATCTTTACTGATGATTTAGATGAGGGGATTGAGTCCATCATCAGCAAATTTGCAGATGACACCAAGCTGGGGGGAGTGTCGATCAACTGGAAGGCAGGAGGGCTCTGCAGAGGGACCTGGACAGACTGGAGAGTTGGGCTGATTCCAGTGGGATGAGGTTCAACAAGGCCAAGTGCCGGGTCCTGCACTTTGGCCACAACAACCCCCTGCAGTGCTACAGGCTGGGCACAGAGTGTCTGGAGAGCAGGCAGGCAGAGAGGGACCTGGGAGTTTGGATTGATAGGAAGCTGAACATGAGCCAGCAGTGTGCCCAGGTGGCCAAGAAGGCCAATGGCATCCTGGCCTGGATCAGGAACAGTGTGGCCAACAGGACCAAGGAAGTGATTCTTCCCCTGTACTCAGCACTGGTGAGGCCACACCTCGAGTACTGTGTCCAGTTCTGGGCCCCTCAGTTCAGGAAGGATATCGAGGTGCTGGAGCAGGTCCAGAGGAGGGCAACAAGGCTGGTGAAGGGACAGGAGCACAAGTCCTGTGAGGAGAGGCTGAGAAAGCTGGCGTTGTTTAGCCTGAAGAAGAGGAGGCTCAGGGGAGACCTCATCACTCTCTACAACTCCCTGAAAGGAGATTGTAGCCAGGTTGGAGTTGGTCTCTTCTCCCAGGTGACTATCAATAAGACAAGAGGGCATGATCTTAAACTCTGCCAGGGGAGGTTTAGGTTAGATATTAGGAAGAAATTCCTTACAGAGAGGGTAATCAGGCACTGGAATGGGCTGCCCAGGGAAGTGGTGGATTCGCTGTCCCTGGAGATTTTTAAGATGATGAGGCACTTAGTGCCATGGTCTAGTAACCACAGCAGTGTTGGATCAAGGGTTGGACTTGATGATCTCAGAAGTCCCTTCCAACCCAGCTGATTCAATGATTCTATGATTCTGATATGTTTATGCAACTAAAAACTAAAACTGATGTTCATTAATATCTTCCTGGGAGACAGCTCATGTTTCAGAAAATCCCCCTCAGTACCATTCTGCCCCTTTGAGTGCCTGAATACACTGAAACATAGCTTAAAATCAAGAAGATATGTAAGTGCTTTCAGAAATGGGTATGTCTTTTAATTCAATCCTGTTGGAAAAGGATGAAAAATGTTAACTATGTTCTAAGGAATGGAGATGGGAATAAAGGTCCATGGGTTCAACCATTTAAATGCATAATGAGACACTGATAAAAAAAAGTTATTTAATATTTTCTATAATTTTATGTAATTCTCTATATAATGCATTTTGTGGCTGTGTTACATTTTTATTTTATTGATTGTTCTTATATTTTGTTTATATATCCATCTAACAGTGGTTAGACAGATAAAATTACTGTTACCTTGCCTGGGGGGAGTTTGTAGAACAGTATCCAACAGCGGAGAGAACATTCTGCCTTTTCTAACTCAGAAAAGAAGGGAAATTAACACATTAGGTCTAATTTCACGTATTCTGGAGGAATATCTTTCTTTGTTGACTTCAAGTCTCCTTCTTTTCATGTCAGTTGCTGTGGAAAAACCCATATAATAATATAAAATCCCCATATAATAACGATGCTATTGTATTTAAGAAATCTCCCTTCTTGACTACTAAAAAATGGTAATTGCTCACACATAAAAAAACCCCAAGTAAACAAATAGCAAAACCAAAGAACAAACAAACAAAATCTCCCAGGATGACAGGTCTTTTAGCATATTTTTTAGAAAAGTGTAGGGGTTTGTTGTTTTTTTGTTTTTTTATTCTGGATCTGAAATGATGGTTCTAACCTGCTGAAATACTTCCTTTTTTTTTTTTTTTTTTTTTTTTTTTTTTTTTTTTTTTTTTTGTGTTTTCTCCTACTAGAGTGAAATTAAAATAAATTCCGACAATTCACATCATTTCCAAAAGTGAAGATATTGTTTTGAGTTAGTCTGTAGTTTTAGTTTTGCTCACCACAGTGTCTGATTTTCTAGTGAAGGTTACATCTGTCAGTCTGGAAATTTTCCTAAAACTCAAATTGGTTTGATAATCTGTGTTGCAAACACTTTAGGTTGACATCTCAGAGGCTTTATTGCATTGCCAGATATCAAGAGGTCTCATTTTTCCCTTTTCTGTTGTGTGTGTAAAACTGATGCAGACATACCTCCTGAGGAACAGGATTTCCACCAGTTGGACTATCATCTTCTCAGTCCCTGAAAGAGTCTTTCTGAACCAAGATTCCTCCTTTTATGTATAACAATAAGAGAAAGGGGGAGAAATATAATACTATGATTCTGTAAATCCAAACACCTGGAGAGGAATCAATTCCTACAGTCACACTATTTTAAATACCTAAGAATAATATAAATGGCTTTGATATGTGCTACAAAATATTATATAAAGAGTTCATATAATTCAGCCTAGTTAATGTGATCTCAAGGTAGCTCTAAAATAACAACATAGACTTGACCAGCTGTTATTGACAGATTCCTATTTAGTTTTATCTTTATCTCCTTACATATGTAATGTTTGGTGGGACTTAATCAGTAGGTATTGAAATATTGAATATACCCATTGTCATCAATACCTTATGACCAGTTCCTTTAAAGTTTAATTAAATGCTTCCCAAATTAATAATAATACTAAATTAATCATCACACAGGACAGTCATTCCTGTTCCTGCAAATTTAAGCATGAATCTCAGAGCGCTGCAAGCATGGCAGGCATAAAAAATACCCCATGATCAATAAACATCCCCTCACCCAGGATTTTCAAATATTCCTAGTTAATTATGTTCACAAACAACAGAGAGCAAGAGAGAACAAAAAGGTTATTTACATCTTAACCACGAACCTCTTCATTTTTTCTTTTTCATTGCCAATAATGTTGCTTTTACATTGCTTTTAGCCATTATTGGCATTTAAGCATCCATCTGAGGATGGTCTGCTGTTCCTTTGTTTTAAAAGGATTAACACTGCCAAACTTTCCTTAGGAAATAGAAAAATAACAGTGGTCACTCATGATAGAAACAGCTAATGTGACCATTCATTCTTGAGGTATTTTAGAAGATTTCTGCTTATACAAAGGGAATTATGAATGGGGAAAGAAACCATAAAAAGCAGACATAAAACTTGTCACAAATCCAAAAATGTTTTACCCGAATCTATATCCTTAATCAGTTCAGAAGCTTCTCTCCCTCACTCCCAACACTACCTCTATTTTTTTTTTTTTGTCCAGGATTTGAAGCAGATAACCATGAAATCTTAATGAAATAATAATTTTCCTTATTTTTTGATGCTTAGAAGCAAGCAAAATCTTGTAGGAAAATTTCTGTTTATTAGCTGGTTTCAGGTTTGTTGTTTTTTTTTTTTTTTTTCAGAAGTAGTAAAAGAGAGGGGCAGTATTTCATTTCAGATGAATACTAGAACAGTTTTGCTACGTGTCTGAAAATCATCTTGAGATAACCTATTTGAAATTTACCCTCTGTAGGGGATGTCACACAAATGTTGCTTTGAACCGTAAAGGATATAATATACTGTATAAAATGGGTGATTTTTATTTTCCTCTTTTTTCTTCCAAGCCCAAAATCACTGTATCTCACTTCTTATTTGCTCACATTTAAGTCTAGTATCTTGCCAGGCAGCTGTCACTTCTTACAGCTGCTTCAAGAGAGCTATGTCAGTATGGGACTGGGCACAAACATGCTGTGATTTATAGCAGCAGCAGCCTGTTGGCAGAATTCATTTGACTTAACTTGCACCGTCTAAAATGTAGGGCCCTTCTCCAACCTTGTCTTCCAGGAGCCCATATTATCTTTGGAAAGAAGTAGACATCTCTAGTAAGTGATTTATCTAGTACCAAAGTGGGTGTTATATAACTGGGGAAAAACATACTCCCTTTCCTTCAACTGCAGTGGGAACACAGGCAGTTGCTTAAACCAGTAGCATCACTCTTATGTGGCGGAAGTCTGACGGAATAGTTACAGTTTTCTTTCTTATTCAAATGGCTAGGACAGTGTACTAACCATTCTCAGTCAGAAGTGTGTCTTTGACAGTAATTTTTGTGTTAATATATCACTTCACAGTCTGCTCAAATCATATTAATTATAAGCCCTCACCATGTGTGGTCATGCAGGAGACAGTTATGCTGCCTTTGGCTTCCCTGCATAGAAACATGGTGACAGAGAGCTGTGAGCAGACCAAAGCTCCTTCTCTTACAGAGAGAGGGGCAATTTTGTTGTCTTTTCCATAAACTGAAGTAGCAATGTAGCCCATGAGACCCTTCCATCTTTTTGATTGATGAGTAAAAAAATGTTTCAGCTGTATTGATCTCCTTTATCTGCTAAATAAGAGGATGCGCATCAGGGAAAGCTTGTAGGGGAACAGAGTGAGGAATGGACAGGATCTGCTTAGTATGTTGGATAGTGAAAGAATGGAGCCAGAAATTCTTGCAAGTTTATTGCATGCTGGTCCTTGTTACAAAATGTGAAACAAAAGGGAAGCCAAATTTCATTACAAAGTGTGCTGGGACCTGAGGCAGGTACTAACCAGATCTGTATTTTACTTGTTCTAAGGTTCAGGAGAGGTTTACTGAGTGGATGCACAGAGGACCTGAGCCAAATCAAGGAGATGATTATGGGTCTGCTGGCTTCATGAAGGTTTGGAGCTGTTTCTCAGAGTTTCAGTCACCCCTGTTTGTCCATGCAATGCTCAAAAGGACAAAGAGGGAGCTGTGAGTTCTGCACAATGCACTCCTTTGTACGGTGCAGACAGGTAGGTCCCAGTTAATTATTTCTGTCTTGCCCTGACACATCAAAACAGTCTGTCACAAGTTCCACCTTCCCATTCCTCCACGCTTTCAAAAAAATCTACCACCACTCTTCATTTAAAAGGCTCAACGTTGGCATTTCAGGAATAGTTACTGTCCAGTAACCACCTGTGACAGCCTGCAGCCTGCTATTATTTGCAGTATAAGTCCATCACCAATACTTTATGACTGCATCTGCAGTTACTGTCAGCTGAACAGTATTTAATTCCTTGACTCACAAACTTGTCAACAAATACTTGTTCACAGGCCCCATTATGCTTCTAGTGGAGCTTGCAGCTTGCTTTTTTTTCGTTTGCTCTGCTGCTGGAAATCAGGGTTTACTGTAAGATGTCCAATGTTCATAAGCAATAAAGTCATAAAAGAATTAAAAAAGGTGATAAACAGATTAAATTATTTCCTGGTACATAGGTTATTTAAGAGAAGGCAATGGGCTTCATTTACACTTAAAGAGACATATTGTTCTTTCCTATCACAAAAAACCTGTCTGTTGGCCTGTGCAGAGCTTCCCCTTTCCCCATCATCTAAGGATGATGGCAATCCCCAATTTAAAAATATATGCCATTACATCTTACTCTGAGTATCACCCTAGTGTTAAAAGAGTTTTAAAATGCGCTAAAGTTTAAGGTTGTATCCATGTTAATATTTCCTAAACTATGACAGTACTTGACAGTTATAGACTTTGGCTTGTTTTCAAACTTAAAATTAGAATTTGTATTATTGCAGTTGACTTTTAAGCATAATTTAAATGGTAAACAGAAAGATGATCTTTTAGAAGCTACTTGTGGCAAACAAGAAGGCAGAGACCATCAGGAGGTTTTCTAGTCCAGTAGCTACCAACTGATGGACCTCAGGACATGAGAAATGGTCCATGAGAAAATTCAAAAGTTATCCAAGCCCTACTCATAGACTTAGTTAAACAAATCAAATAAAATAGGAAAATTAAAAATAATTTTAATTTAATGTCAACTTTTTCTGATTGTAAATGAAGATGAACATTGAAGAAAGATACAAGATGGTCTATGGCTTTATGTGGAAAAATATTACATAGCTCTTAAATGATTTTCAGACTGTTTATTATTCAGACTGAATAAAGGCATCAAGCTATGATCTTTTACTACCTAACTTACCTTAAAGATCTCCAGTGATGGCATTTCCACAAATTCTCTGAGCATTCTGTGCCAGTGATTTAGCATATCCTCACAGACATAAGATATAGTTCTTACTGCAACTTGACTCCACCACTTTTTGTTCTCTGTCTCACAGATTTGAAAAACAGGTTATTCCCTCCCCTTTAGCAACAGCCAAAAGTGAACTTAAGATTCAAATTACTCATGTGACTAAAAATGCCCATTTACCAGAATGTAATTATAAACCCTTATCTTGCATCTCGTAAGCCAACTACTTGCATTTGTCTCAGTGAGACTACAGAGGTGATAGAAGATAAAAAAGTTTGAGACTTGTTTAACCAGAAACTGTATATTCTCAAAGAAAAAATCTACTGCCTTTATAGAAGGATTCACATTCGTCTGGAGAGAAGTGGAAAGGTCTCAATTATACTAATTTAAAACTTTTCTAGCAACACCACTTTGTTGCCTCTGGCAATGTTCCTATGACGTGTATATATACTAATATATATATTTATTTCAAATTATTTCCTCTTCCCTCTAATTCTGTCCTGTAGATTTTATGCCAGGTAATTGCTTCTCTAGACTCGTAAAAAATTGTTAGGTTTTGTCTAAAAATATGTTTAATTGTAAATTTTCAGAAACCTTGCTTATTGCTTTGAAATTAATCAGTAGAATCAGGGAACTAATTTTAATGATGATTGCTATTTTAATGGGTGAATATTTTTAGCTAAATCTAAAATGCAAAAAGGCTTTATGGTTTGGTGGAACTTTAAGTGAGTACAAAACTGTAATACATCTACCAAGCACAGATAAAAGATTATCTTAATTCAAATTATGAAGGTATTTATAGAACAGACCAGCAAGTGGCAGTACATGTTGTGCATAAATCATGAATGATAAGACTGAAGTCTTTAAAATGAAACTAAATAGACAGTCAAACAAGCTTTCATGTACAGTCTTATTCATTTTAAGTGCCCTGCCAAGAATTGTAAATGCTTCATTCCGCATGACCTTATTTATTTTCCTGGAAATAATAAGTATCTCTCAATTTTAAGAAAGAAAGGAAACAACTCTTCTGTAACTGCTGGGATACATTTGTGTCTCAGTCAATCAACATGTATATAATGTTGACTCAGAGTGGAAAATGGAATTTTCCAGCGACCATAGTGTTATGAATTGCCATGACTCACAACATATTCCAATAAATAATCACTGCCTATGGGTAGTATATTGTAATGGATGTACAATGCCTACTCCAATGGTCTTTGACCCTGGTATCTTTTATGTGAACTCCATTCTATGCAGTTTATTTTCATAGGTAAAATATTAGAAGAAACCATAATATTCACTATTACAGATTTGTTCAAAGTCAGTGTAATATATTGCTAGGCAACATTCAGCACAGAAAAAGAAGAAGAAAAGTGTTGCCTACATTCAGTGAGTTAGCTAAGAGAACAAATATTAAATGTGTGTGTTTCGATAAAATACTACTTTGAAATCCCTAGTTATATTGGTAAAGTGTTATAAATGGAAGTATATTTTACTTCTGTAGAAATATTTAGAGTAGTGTACTGTGTGGCTGTAACGACTGATACCCTCTGAGGTGAAAATAATCTCCATACCCCAAAGATGAACATAGAGAGAATAACAAAGGAAGTCATTGGTAATTCGCAGGAGATCATCTCTGACCCAGAGATGCTACTAGTATGGATGAAGGAGGAATACTTGTACTGGGCCCCTTTTAACCCCTTCCCTGCCACTATAAGATATTAATCGGACTGCTAAATGCTGATTCTTGTCAATCTGAATGTTGGCACACTTACAGACTGTGTGTTGAATGACACTGGCAGTCTTTACCATGTAGCTTTCATGGAGAGGCACAAAAATTGCTTTCCTTTTGCATTCCTGTTCCTGAGGTTGCTAAAGCATAATGGCTCCACTTTTTTCCTTCATAAAACAAGGCTGTTCAAGCAGCATGCTGTGACATTTGGTAGTGAAATGCAGTTAGAGTTGACTGGAAAAATGTGGACTAAATTTTTTGAATTTCAGAAAAAGTTTCTGCATGTTTAGGTTGCATTTGCAAATGGGCCAGAAGCAGTGAGTGGTGTCACTCTCTGATGAAGCAGTTCAGAATGGAAGGAATAAATTTAGGTGAAGGAGAGCTAAGATTCAGTGCCTTTTCTGAATGATGGATTTTATTTCTCTGCTTTCCCCCAGAACTGTGTCTTCTTTGCTGTGCCGTAGCATATTTTTAAGTGTGCTCTCAGGTTCTTCTAAGAATGTTAACTTTTTCTTGGAATGACTTTTGAGAGCAGAAAGGACCACAGCTTTTCATATCACAAATGGAAATCATTATGCTGAGAGGGTCACTCTTACTTGCTCTCTGAATAAAAATTTATCTCATGCAAAATGAAATATGCCCAGCAGGAGGAACTAAGAGACATTCAACTTCATTGCATATACATAAATGTACTGAGTATGTACATTATCTCTGCACACTTAGAGATTTAAATCTCTGTCTCACAAGCTCTTAGTAGAAGATTCCAAGAACTAGGTGATGGAAGTTGGAATTGGGAGAAATTTTGCTTTCTGACCTCTATTGGAGGTACTCCACTTACTGGTAAGTGATACTTAAACAAGTATGAACACATGCCTATGAAGTACAAATGTTCTATACTGAGTACAGGATGTTCTATACTGAGCCTTGCCCAGTCTGGCTGAGAAGCTAAAGCAATGGTTTTTTTCAATGTAAAGCCCCATTGCAATCAGATGAGACAGGTAAGGCTACCTGTCTCTTCTGTTGCTTAGGAGATTCTTCTCCATAAAGACTATGATGGAAACATTTCCCACAAGGTTATTTCTTAGTCTTCCCATGTCCTAGTTAGGACAACTGAGACCAGTTCATCAGGGTATGGGTGTAACCCAAAACTGTGTATTCTATAGCCTTCCATGCCATTTCCCAGAAACTGTTATCAATGAACCATTTACACCATCTGCCCATAGAGCCTGACTCCTCAGGCTATAAACTAGGTGTTAAGAGGCCTGTGAGATAGGAGGATGCTCCTGTCCTCACACCCTTTGTGGAACTCCCCGCCCTGAGGGAAGTGCTGAGCATTCCTGCCTGAATTGCAGGATATATAATCTTGGAGTCTTGGAACATTTTTAACCACTCTGTGGGATCCAGAGAAGGACTGCGGCTCATCGCTCTCAAACAGACGTGGACCACCACCCTATACTGGACTCCAATCACCACTTTGACCAGACTGCAACAGCTCTCCCCCCAGCATCTCACTGCAATCACCACTTTTGACTAGACTGCAACAGCTCTCCCACCAGCAGGTTCTTCCCCTCTCCCTTTACTTTGGACTCAAGCGGGGCCCAAGGAACACCACGTTGTTCATGCCCCAGGGTACTGGGTTATACATTTGGGTTTTGTGGGTTAAGACCAATTGTTTGTTTGTATGATTGTACTTACTGTATTATTTTAGTAAATTGTTATTCTGACTTATAATCTCTCCTTTGAGTTGAGTTCATTTCCCCTGCTGGTTAACTCTTAAACCAGCACATCCCAACATCTACTATTCCATGGGTTTGCTATTCCCTATGTACAGAACTTTGCAGTTTTATTTTTGAACATCATGCAGTTTCTGTTAACCTGGTTCCAAGGTTTATTAAGATCTTTGGGGCTGAATCTCTTTTGTCATTTGATGAGACTTTTGGTCCCAGGGCTGTCCCTGATTAACACCAGAATCTACTTCTGAATTCACGGTATATATCTTGTACTGAGAGTTTCTGAAACGCTGGTATCTTCATATTCT